GTGAAATTGTTGTGACAATTACAAAGAAATGAACTGTAAGTTCAAAATTTGGATGGGTGATCAATTTTGCAAGAAAAATATTAGTGTTGCTTTTGTTTTCTGTAGACTGTTTAAGTTCTGAAATCGAGCACTAGAGCTCTGTCTTTTGCTAGTTTTTACAACTCCTGAATTTGAAAATCTGGGAAAATATTCTTTCTAGGTCAGGTTCTCTTTTTTAACTACAATTAACTGTTAAAAGGAAGGATTTGTCCTCACAACTGAATAAAGAAGTGGGTAAAACAATTGAGGAAAAAGAGAGCGAACCTGTCAGAAATACATTCATTATGGCTCACAAAAACTAATGGCACAATTGGCCATAGAGAGATTTCAAGGTTTTCCTTATTTTACCAATATTTTATACTCTTTCTGAAGTCTAATTTTACTGCAGAAACTAATCTTCTCAGTTTCTGATTCATCTTGCACAATCATGCCTTTCTTCCAGTTTGGACTTCTCCGCCGTTAATCCATAAAACTGCATTCTAAACCTATCAGCCCCATAGATTGTAGAATATAATTCACTGCAAGAAGACATGAATAATTGTCACTTCCACTACTGACAAAAGTTAAGAATAGATTGTTGGCGTTTTAGCCCTTTTACTGTTTTCTTGTTTGAAAACTTTTGGGAATTCCTTTGTGCAAGAACTCTATGATTAAACTTTAAAAAAAATGCATTTTTTCACAAATGCGTTAAGCTCTTGTTGACTCCAGAAAAGGAATAAATGACATAGTGTACTCCAAGGTGCGGTTGTGGTCCTCTCTTCCTTCAAATTTGTTATGATTATTTTCATGGAAAACGTAGCACATCAAAACATGAGAAGCTAGGGAACATAATAAAGATGGCTATACCTATAATTATTTTCTTGTTCACCCCTCCTAAACATATGCATGAATTTCATTAATCTACTATTATACCCCATTCGGTTCACTTAAAAAAATTCCCTTTGTAGCCAATCATTTATTGAAAAAAATTGATAAGCTTAACACAAAAGCAGAAAAAGAAATAATAGTAACTTGGTCCCATGTGAAATTGAGCTGTTTCTGTAACTTGGAGAATACCCTTTTGTACTGAGCAATGAGCATTATTATCTTGGCGCTAGCCATTTACAATTTAAAAACTGTACTTTCTTTTCAGAAAAAGTACATGGTGGTAAAAATGGCCTAATTTCATTTGTATCTATATAGATAGCGCTTTAAGAAATTGAGATCTCTTCATGCAACAGTACACATGTTGAAGAGTAAACTCTGTCCCCTCTTTTAGCAGTATGACCCAACTGATTTTTACTCCTTGGCTTGTGTAGTATTATTGCCTTTTTTTTCATGCATTCTTCCTTATTAGCCATTAATTATGTATATGGTTCTTCTTGAACATGCTATCACATACTGTTATGTCTAGTGTCAAATGCAACATGGTCAACTGGCACGGTTACATCTATATTTTACATGAAGGGGAAAAGGTGATTATCAAATTGATTATAAACCAGCTTTTCGAATCTCAGAAGCAGATAAGAGTAATGATCAATACTAATTGAGAACATAATTTATCTCAATACTAATTCATTCTAAAGCTACTATTGGAGTTGAATTTCATACCCAACTTCTTGACATTAATGGGAAAGCTCATATTTGGGACACTGCTGGTCAAGAAAGGTTTAGATATAAGTCGGAGGAGTACTTTTGAAAGTGTTACTAGGTGGCTTGATGAGCTCAATAGCCGTTATAGAAAAATTTAATTCTTGAAAAACAGATGAAATCAAAGGTGTTTTTTTTTTCTTTTTCTTGATTTCGTGTTTATGATTTCTTTGTGATTCTTGCATATTAGTTGATATATTGTTTAATTTCCCCTTCTCCAAATGCATATGCATGATACTTGAGAACATGATTTTTTTTCTAGTGAAAAATTTCTCCACTTTCTTGCCTTGTTGAATTTGATAATAACTGAATCAGGGCATATTGCTCTCTTTTCTTCTTTGGGGGTCTCGCGTGTCAGTTATGTGACTTAATGTCTCTTTCTCCAAGTAGATATACATTTGTATACGGAGAGTGCTATTTATTCCTTGTTATTTGACTTGTAATTAGTATTGAGATAAATTATTGAATTTGCCAATTTTCATCAATTTTTTCTTCTCGAATGGGGCAGCAGCAATCCAAAGGTGAGTTTCTGTATCAGCAAGTTAATTACGGAAATGTTGAAAGCATCAAATCTCTCCGCAGTAAATTAACTCAGCAGCTTGAAATTTTAAAGAGAAAAACAGCAAGTTCTGTAAGCAAACAAGAGCAGCAATTGAATGTACTATTAGAAGATACGCAATCCTTCTTAGCTACTAAAAGAAGGGTACAGTGAATTTTTTTTGACATGCAGTACTTTAATAATCTGGGACCTGAAAATGGAACTTATCTAATCTTGTATTTACGGACAGGCTACAGATGACTTGAAGGTTCAGCTCCAGAAGCTGAAAGACAAGTATAACTCCGATATCCAGAATTTGGCTGTACCAGCCCATGATCTTCATGAAAATTCTCAGTTAGCTTTTAGCAAAGTGAATTCAGAAATATCAAAGCATTCTTCCGCCTTTATGGATGTAAGTGGGGATACTTCTTTCAGTCAGCGTTACTTTCTTTCCACCCTTTCATCACTCAATTTTCCCTGTATACTAATGCAGTTTGTAGGAAAGATCTCCGCTGATGTTAATGCTATACTCAACGGTCTGCAAGGTAATATTCGGGAACTTGAGGTGAAGATAAATGATTTTGTGCAACAAGAACAACAGGTACATAAGCATGCTATAGATTTTCCTTCGGATACTCTTAGTTTTGTGCATCTAACTTTGTTTATTTTTCTCCATCATCAGTATCAAACAAGAAGATATCATGAAATTCAAATTAGCTCTGAAGTTCTCCTCAACTTTTTCAAGACCTTGAATACATATATTTCAAAATTGAGACTAATGGATGAAAAATCACAAACAATTAATAATCAGCAACTTTGCGCCCTTGAAGAAAAGTTTGAGGTATTTATTTCTGGACTCTCCTTAGAAATGAAGATCTCAATCTTGATTTCTTTTCACCCTTCGAGTTACTTCTATAGGAGCTGGCTGCAAGTGAAGAATGGCAACTTATAGAAAAAGTTGCAGAGCTTATATTAGCTTCCAATACTAAGAAGAAAAGGCTGGTATGTGCTTCTTCATTGCAACTTGTACATACCTTTTATGGTATTAGAGGCAGCCTTACCCCGTATTTTTGCAAGAGTTTGTTTCCATAGCTCAAACTGGTGGCCTCCTGGTCACATGGCAACAACTTTACCAGCTACGCCAAGGCTTGTCTTCAACTAAATAATCACAGCTTGAAAATGCTTTTCCATGAAAGTTTATATTGTGAATGGAATTCATACTAATATCATAGACTTTTCATGAATTTTCTTATTCTTAAAAGCATGGAATTACTGCAGGACTATCTCTTTCAGGGAGAAAATTATCAAATACTTCCATTTTTTTCGTTTCTTTAGGTTCAAACAGCGGTCAATGACCTTCAAGAGTGCTCTAATATCAAAACCAGAAATCTAAATACTGAGTTCTCAGACATACAAGGTTGTGCTAATTCTGCCTATGAAAAGTGGACAAACTACATTGAAAGCACAGAAGCTCACCATATCGAGGATTCAACTAGATTGGAATTTTGGAAGAGTAGCCTAACAGGAAACTTCGATTGCTGGTTGAGTTGGTTTCAGATGATATAAAATCTATAAATATTGCACTGTATTTTGTGTTGTATACCTTTAATAAAGCTATTAATATGTTCATGAGTGCTGTGGAATCAAATGGAAAGATAGGCACTCAGCTGCATTCCTCCACAGTGACTTCCACACTAGAAGAAACAGTTATTTCAAAGAGGAATCTTCTTTTTGTTATGGAAAGTACCGATGAAGCTTCAACACCATCAAGCGCCACCACCAGTGAATAAGAAAACAAATAGAATCGTCCAACTCTTGAACTGTTATTTTCAAAATAATCAGAAGCACAACATAAGACAAGATGAATTGTGTTCTTTCATCATCACATTAAGAAGTAATTGTTCCCCTCTTCGAAAAATGATTTTCACGGGATGAATTATAAGTTACTCCGTGGCACCATGTCTGATTCCCATCTTTCTCTTTTCCCTTCAGGTGAAGCTGCTTTCATCCTGGAATGGAAAATTCTTGTTCACTGGTTGTGTAGATGTGCCTTTGACTACAAAGGGTGTGGAAGAGGTCGTTAAAGCTGGGATACGAATTAGCAATATAACATATCGACATGATCTATACTTCTGCTTTGATTTGTGCTCTAAGCTTGCATGATAGCTCCGCCTGAAGAAGGTAATTTTGTGGTTAAAGCTTGTAGCATTTAGGCGATCTCTGCTTCTTCTTAATTTTATTTTGTTATACACGGATTAGTAGTTAGTAGCTCAAGTGTTTTATATACATGGTATTATTGTTCGCAGGGTCCAAAAAAGAAGGTTGTATCTGCATATAACGAATATGTTATTATTGTTTCATGGATTGGCTGTGACACACAACAAATCACAGAAGATCTTGCATTAGAGGTTCACAGAGAAAGTAAGTCAATATTTTTGTTGGATCTCTCTTTTTATACATTATCACTATATATATAGATTTCAATGTTAGCATGAAAAATGTTCGCACCCCAAGGTGATTGATGTAGAGTCTAACTACTACATTCACAGCTCGAATCGATGACCTAGCTTGAAAGATGAAAGTTTGGGGAATATGGCTGTCAACATATTGAATGCTTTCAAATCGTGAACAATGTCAACTTTGTTTGCAGACTAACTTGTTCCTTTTACATAAAATGATCCGAATATGATTTTCAAGTAATTGTCATGCAAGTTTTTTGTCTTAAAATGATACAAAATAAATTCTAATTAAAACTACGAACCATTTAGTACTTGAAAATTTCTCTGTGGTAAAATTATGTTGTTTTTGAGTTGTTAGACATTCTCGGGTCAGGCCTCCTCAAGTCAGGCGTTCTCGGATCAGGCGTCCTCAGGTCAAGCATTCTTGGGTCAGACATCCTCGGGTCAGGCGTTCTCCGGTCAGGTGTTCTTGGGACAGGCGTTCTCGGGTCAGACGTTCTTAGGTCAGACGTCCTAAGGTCAGGCATTCTCAGGTTAGGCGTCCATGGGTCAGGCATTCTCGGGTCATGTGTCCTCCGGTCAGGCATCCTTGGGTCAAGCATCCTCGGGTCAGGCATTTTCGGGTCAAGCGTCCTCGGGTCATGAATCTTCGGGTCAGGCATCCTCGGGTCAAGCATCCACGGGTCAAGCATCCTCGGGTCTGGTCAGACGTTCTTAGGTCAGACGTCCTAAGGTCAGGCATTCTCAGGTTAGGCGTCCATGGGTCAGGCATTCTCGGGTCATGTGTCCTCCGGTCAGGCATCCTTGGGTCAAGCATCCTCGGGTCAGGCATTTTCGGGTCAAGCGTCCTCGGGTCATGAATCTTCGGGTCAGGCATCCTCGGGTCAAGCATACTTAGTAGGGTCAGGCATTCTCGGGTCAGGGCATATTCTCCAGTAAGACGTTCTCGGGTCAGGCATATTCTCTAGTAAGACATTCTCGGGTCAGGCGTCCTCGAGTCAAGCATCCTCGGGTTAGGCATCCTCGGGTCAGGCGTCCTCAGGTCAGGCATCCTCGGGTCAGACATTCTAGGGTCAAGCGTCCTCGGGTCAGGCATTCTTTGGTCAGGCGTCCTCGGGTCAGGCATTCTTGGGTCAAACATCCTTGGGTCAGGCATCCTCGGGTCAAGCATCCTCAAGTTAGGCATTCTCGGGTAAGGCGTCCTCGAGTCAGGCAACCTAGGGTTAGGCATCCTCGAGTCAGGCATCCTCGGGTCAGGCATCCTTGGGTCAAGCGTTCTCGGGTCAGGCATCCTTAGGTGGCATTCTCGGGTCAAGCATCCTCGGGTCACGCATCCTTAGGTCAGGCACCCTCGGGTTAGGCATTTTCGGGTCAAGGGTTTTCGGGTCAGGCATTCTCGGGTCAGGCATCCTCAGGTCAGGCCTCCTCGGGTCAGGTAATCTTGGGTCAGGCGTTCTCGTGTCAGGCATCCTCAGGTCAGGTGTTTCAGGGTCAAGCATCCTTGGGTCAGGCATCCTCGGGTCAGGCCTTCTCGGGTCAGGCATCCTCGGGTCAGGCATCCTCGAGTCAGGTATCCTCGGGTCAGGCATTCTCAGGTCAGGCATCCTCGGGTTAGGCATCCTCGGGTCAGGCATTCTCGGGTCAGGCATCCTAGGGTTAGGCAACCTCGGGTCAGGCATATTCACCAGTAAGACATCCTCGGGTCAGGCGTCCTCGGGTCAGGCATCCTCGGGTTAGGAAACCTCGGGTCAGGCATATTCTCCAGTAAGACATCCTCGGGTCAGGCGTCCTCGGGTTAGGCATCCTCGGGTCAGGCGTTCTGGGATCAGGCATCCTCGGGTTAGGCATTTTCCAGTAAGTCATCCTAAGGTCAGGCGTCATCGGTTCAGGCATTCTAGGGTCAAGCACCTTCAGGTCAGGCATTCTCGGGTTAGGCGTCCTCGGGTCAGGCTTCCTCGGGTTAGGCATTCTAAGGTCAAGCGTCCTTATGTCAGGCATTCTCGAGTCAGGCGTCCTTGGGTCAAGCATTCTAGGGTCAAGAGTCCTCAGGTCAGGCATTCTAGGGTTAGGCGTCCTCGGGTCAGGCTTCCTCGGGTTTGGCATCCTCCGGTCAAGCATCCTCGGGTCTGGCATCCTCGGGTCAGGCGTTCTTGGGTCAGGCATCCTCGGGTCAGGCGTTCTCGGGTCACGCATTCTCGGGTTAGGCATCCTCGGGTCAGGCATCCTCGGGTCAAGCATACTTAGTAGGGTCAGGCGTTATCGGGTCAGACATATTCTCCAATAAGACATTCTCGGGACAGGCGTCCTCGAGTCAGGCATCCTCGGGTCAGGAGTTCTGGGATCAGGCATTCTCGGGTTAGGCATCCTCGGGTCAGGCGTCCTCAGGTCAGGCATCCTCGGGTCAGGCATTCTAGGGTCTAGCGTCCTCGGGTCAGGCATTCTCTGGTCAGGCGTCCTCGGGTCAGCCTTCCTCGGGTTAGGAATCCTCGGGTCAGGCATCCTCGGGTAAGGTGTCGTTGGGTCAGCCATTCTTGGGTCAAACATCATTGGGTCAAGTATCCTCGGGTCAGGCATTCTCGGGTCAGGCATTCTCGGGTCAGGCATCATCAGGTTAGGCATCCTCGGGTCAGGTATTCTTGGGTAAGGCGTTCTCGGGTCGGCATCCTAGAGTCAGGTGTTTCGGGGTCAAGCATCCTTGGGTCAGGCATCCTCGGGTCATGCATTCTCGGGTCAGGCATCCCCGTGTCAGGCATCCCCGTGTTAGGCATACTTAGGGTCAGGCATTCTCGGGTCACGCATATTCTCCAGTAAGACATCATCGGATCAGGCATCCTCGGGTCAGGCGTTCTCGGGTCAGGCATCCATGGGTCAGGCATCCTCGGGTTTAGCATTCTCGGGTCAGGCATCCTCGGGTTAGGAATCCTCGGGTCAGGCATCCTCAGGTCAGGCATCCTCGGGTTGGTCAGGCGTTATCGGGTCAGACATATTCTCCAATAAGACATTCTCGGGACAGGCGTCCTCGAGTCAGGCATCCTCGGGTCAGGAGTTCTGGGATCAGGCATTCTCGGGTTAGGCATCCTCGGGTCAGGCGTTCTGGGATCAGGCATCCTCGGGTTAGGCATTTTCCAGTAAGTCATCCTAAGGTCAGGCGTCATCGGTTCAGGCATTCTAGGGTCAAGCACCTTCAGGTCAGGCATTCTCGGGTTAGGCGTCCTCGGGTCAGGCTTCCTCGGGTTTGGCATCCTCCGGTCAAGCATCCTCGGGTCTGGCATTCTCGGGTCAGGCGTTCTTGGGTCAGGCGTTCTCGGGTCAGGCGTTCTTAGGTCAGGAGTCCTTGGGTCTGGCGTTCTCGGGTCAGGCATCCTCAGGTCTGGCGTTCTCGGGTCAAGCATCCTCCAGTCATCGTCGGGTCAAGCGTCCTCGGGTCAGGCATCCTCGGGTCAGGCGTTTTCGGGTCAGGCATACTCGGGTCAGTCATTATCGGGTCAGGCATTCTGGGGTCAGGCGTTCTGGAGTTAGGCATCCTCGAGTCAGACATCCATGGGTCAGGCATTCTCGGGTCTAGCATTCTCGGGTCAGGCATCCTCGGGTCAGGCATTCTCGGGTCAGGCATCCTCGAGTCAGGCATACTCGGGTCATGCATTCTCGGGTCAGGCGTTCTCGGGTCAGGCGTTCTTGGGTCAGGAGTCCTTGGGTCGGACGTTCTCGGGTCAAGTCAGGAGTCCTTGGGTCTGGCGTTCTCGGGTCAGGCATCCTCAGGTCTGGCGTTCTCGGGTCAAGCATCCTCCAGTCATCGTCGGGTCAAGCGTCCTCGGGTCAGGCATCCTCGGGTCAGGCGTTTTCGGGTCAGGCATACTCGGGTCAGTCATTATCGGGTCAGGCATTCTGGAGTCAGGCGTTCTGGGGTAAGGCATCATCGGGTCAGGCATTCTCGGGTCAGGCGTTCTCGGGTAAGGTGTTCTCAAGTCAGGCATTCTCGGGTCAGGCGTTCTCGGGTCAGGCGTTCTTGGGTCAGGCGTTCTCGGGTCAGGCGTTCTTAGGTCAGGAGTCCTTGGGTCTGGCGTTCTCGGGTCAGGCATCCTCAGGTCTGGCGTTCTCGGGTCAAGCATCCTCCAGTCATCGTCGGGTCAAGCGTCCTCGGGTCAGGCATCCTCGGGTCGGGCGTTCTCGGGTCAGGCATACTCGGGTCAGTCATTATCGGGTCAGGCATTCTGGGGTCAGGCGTTCTGGAGTTAGGCATCCTCGAGTCAGGCATCCATGGGTCAGACATTCTCGGGTATAGCATTCTCGGGTTAGGCATCCTCGGGTCAGGCATTCTCGGGTCAGGCATCCTCGAGTCAGGCATCCTCGGGTCAGGTATTCTCGGGTCAGGCCTTCTCGGGTCAGGCGTTCTTGGGTCAGGCGTTCTCGGGTCAGGCGTTCTTAGGTCAGGAGTCCTTGGGTCTGGCGTTCTCGGGTCAGGCATCCTCAGGTTCGGCGTTCTCGGGTCAAGCATCCTCCAGTCATCGTCGGGTCAAGCGTCCTCGTGTCAGGCATCCTCGGGTCAGGCGTTCTTAGGTCAGGAGTCCTTGGGTCTGGCGTTCTCGGGTCAGGCATTTAGGCGTCCTCGGGTCAGGCATTCTGGGGTCAGGCGTTCTAGGGTAAGGCATCCTCGGGTCAAGCATCTTCGGGTCAGGCATTTAGGCGTCCTCGGGTCAGGCTTCCTCAGGTCAGGCATACTCGGGTCAGTCATTATCGGGTCAGGCATTCTCGGGCCAGGCATCCTCGGGTCAAGCATCTTCGGGTCAGGCAGCCTCGGGTCAGGCGTTCTTTGGTCAGGCGTTCTCGGGTCAGGCATTTAGGCGTCCTCGGGTCAGGCTTCCTCAGGTCAGGCATACTCGGGGCAGTCATTATCGGGTCAGGCATTCTGGGGTCAGGCGTTCTCAGGTCAGGCATACTCGGGTCAGTCATTATCGGGTCAGGCATTCTGGGGTCAGGCGTTCTCAGGTCAGGCATACTCGGGGCAGTCATTATCGGGTCAGGCATTCTGGGGTCAGGCGTTCTAGGGTAAGGCATCCTCGGGTCAGGCATTCTCGGGTCAGGCGTCTTCAGATCAGGCATCCTCGGGTCAGGCTTCCTCAGGTCAGGCATACTCGAGTCAGGCATCTTTTTGTGAGGCATCCTCGGGTCAAGCATCTTCGGGTCAGGCATCCTAGAGTCAGGCATCATCGGGTCAGGAATCCTCAGGTCAGACATTCTTGGGTTAGGCATCCTTGGATTTATCCTCGGGTCAGGCGTTCTCCGGGTCAGGCATCTTCGGGTCAGGCATCCTCGGGTCAGGCGTTCTGGGGTTCCGCATCCTCGGGATAGGCATTCTCTAGTAAGACATCCTCGGATCAGGCTTCCTCGGTTTAGGCATTCTCGGGTCAGGCATCCTAGTGTCAAGCATCATCGGGTCAGGCATCATTGGGTCAGACATCTTCGGGTCAGGCATTCTCCAGTAAGACATCCTCAGGTCAGGTATCATTGGGTCAGTCATCCTCTAGTCAGGCATCCTTGGGTCAGGCATCCTCGGGTTAGGCATCCTCGGGTCAGGTATCCTCGGGTCAAGCATACTCGGGTCAGACATCCTCGGGTCAGGCATCCCCGGTTCAGGCGTTTTGGGGTCAGGCGTTCTCGAGTCACGCATCCTCGGGTCAGGCATTCTAGGGTCAAACGTCCTCAGGTCAGGCATTCTCGGGTCAGGCTTCCTCGGGTCAGGCACTCTAGGGTCAACTTTCCTCGGTCAGGCATTCTCGGGTCATGCGTCCTCGGGTCAGGCGTCCTCGGGTCACGCATCCTCAGGTCAGGCATCCTCGGGTTAGGCATCCTCGGGTCAGGCATTCTTGTGTCAGGCATTCTCGGGTTTGGCATCCTCAGGTCAGACATTTTTGGGTCAGGTTTTCTTAGGTCAGGCTTTCTCGGTCAGGTGTTCTCGGGTCAGGTATTTCGGGGTCAAGCATCCTTGGATCAGGCATTCTCGGGTAAGACATTCTCGGGTCAGGCGTTCTTGGGTCAGGCATCCTCGGGTCAGGCGTTCTAGGTCAGGCATCCTCGGGTTAGGCATTCTCCAGTAAGACATCCTCGGGTCAGGAGTCCTCAGGTCAGGCATCCTCGGGACAAGCGTCCTCACGTCAGGCATTCTCGTGTCAGGCGTCCTAGGGTCTGGCATTCTAGGTGTCAAGCGTCGTGACGTCAGGCATTCTCGGGTCAGGCGTCCTTGGATCAGGCATCATCGGGTCAGGCGTTCATGGGTCAAGCATCATCGGGTAAGACATCCTCGGGTCGGGCATTCTAGGGTCAAGCGTCCTCGGGTCAAGCGTCCTCAGGTCAAGCATTCTCGGGTCAGGAGTCCTTGGGTCAGGCATTCTAGGGTCAAGCATCCTCGATCAGGCATTCTCGGGTCAGGCGTCCTCGGGTCAGGCTTTCTCGGGTCAAGCCTCCTCGGGTCACGCATCCTCAGGTCAGGCATCCTCGGGTTAGGCATCTTCGTGTAAGGCATCCTCGGGTTAGGGTTTTCGGGTCAGGCATTCTTGGGTCAGGCATTCTCGGGTCAGGCATCCTCAGGTTAGGCATCTTCGGGTCAGGCGTTCTCGGGTCAGGTGTTTCGGGGTCAAGCATCCTTGGGTCAGGCATCCTCGGGTCAGGCATTCTCGGGTCAGGCATCCTCGGGTCAGGCATCCTCGTGTCAGGCATACTTAGGGTCAGGCATTCTCGGGTCACGTATATTCTCTAGTAAAACATCATCGGATCAGACATCCTCGGGTCAGGCGTTCTCGGTTCAGGCATTCATGGGTCAGGCGTCCTCGGATATATCATTCTCGGGTCAGGCATTCTCAGTTTAGGCGTTCTCGGGTCAGGCATTCTTGGGTCATGAGTCCTCGGGTCTGGAGTTCTCAGGTCAGGCATCCTCAGGTCTGGCGATCTCGGGTTAACCATCCTTCAGTCATCGTCAGGTCAAGCGTCCTCGAGTCAGGCATCCTTGGGTCAGGCGTCCTTGGGTCAGGCATCCTCGGGTCAGGCATCCTCGGGTCAGGAATTCTTAGGTCAGGCATACTCGGGTTAGTCATTATTGGGTCAGGCATTCTGAGGTCAGGCGTTCTGGGGTCAGGCATCCTCGGGTCAGGCGTTCTCGGGTCAGGCATCCACGGGTCAGGCATCCTCGGGTCAAGCGTTTTAAGGTCAGGCATACTCGAGTCAGGCATCTTTTTGTCAGGCATCCTCGGGTCAGGCATCCTAGAGTCAGGCATCATCGGGTCAGGCATCCTCAGGTCAGACATTCTTGGGTCAGGCATCCTTGGATGTATCCTCGGGTCAGGAATTCTCTGGGTCAGGCGTTCTGGGGTTCGGCATCCTCGGGATAGGCATTCTTTAGTAAGACATCCTCGGATCAGGCGTCCTCGGGTCAGGCCTCATCGGGTTAGGCATTCTCGGGTCAGGCATCCTAGAGTCAAGCATCATCGGTTCAGGCATCCTTGGGTCAGGCATTTTCGGGTCAGGCATTCTCCTGTAAGACATCCTTGGGTCAGGTATCCTCGGGTCAGTCATCCTCTAGTCAGGCATCCTTGGGTCTGGCATCTTTTGGTAAGGCATCCTCGGTTCAGGTATTCTTCAGTAAGACATCCTCGGGTCAGGTATCCTCGGGTCAGGTATCCTCGGGTCATGCATACTTGGGTCAGACATCCTCGGGTCAGGCATCCCCGGGCCAGGCATTTTGGGGTCAGGTGTTCTCGAGTCACGCATCCTCGGGTCAGGCATTCTAGGGTCAAGCGTCCTCAGGTCAGGCATTCTCGGGTCAGGCACTCTAGGGTCAACCTTCCTTGGTCAGGCATTCTCGGGTCAAGCTTCGTCAGGTCAGGCGTCCTCGGGTCACGCATCCTCAAGTCAGGCATCCTCGGGTTAGGCATCCTCGGGTTAAGCATCCTTGGGTCAGGCATTCTCGGGTCTGGCATCCTCAGGTTAGGCATCCTTGGGTTAGGTTTTCTTGGGTCAGGCGTTCTCGGTCAGGCGTTCTCCGGTCAGGTGTTTCGGGGTCAAGCATCCTTTGATCAGGCATTCTCGAGTCAGGCATCCTCGGGTCAAGCGTTCTCGGGTCAGGCATTCTTGGGTCAGGCATCCTCGGGTCAGGCGTTCTTGGGTCAGACATCCTCGGGTCAGGCGTTCTCGGGTCAGGCATCCTCGTGTCAAGCATATTTAGGGTCTAGCATATTCTCCAGTAAGACATTATCGGGTCAGGCATCCTTGGGTCAGGCGTTCTCGGGTCAGGCATCCATGGGTCAGACGTCCTCGGGTCAGGCGTTCTTGGGTCAGGCATTCTCGGGTCAGGCATCCTCGATTCAGGCAT